AAGTTTGTGGCTCATTAAAAGGCTGTTTGGACTAAAACTACATTATTGTTACATTCATGATCAGGCATCATCTGAGGAGTGAGACAGTAAAACTACAGTCATATTAAACAATAATTTGGGTTATTTAGCTTGACATATAAGGATACATAAATGCACAAAGTCATGTTTTCATTATTCATTTATAAAAGCCAGAGTTTCAAACTAAATATTTTATTATCAAGCTAAATATTTAGCTCATAACCAGTGTTTGTGCTGAGCAGGTTCACCTGAGCCAGTTTTTACTGTCTCTGTATGATGGATCAACAAATGCACGCTTTCATACTTGACTCAAACGGTGATGCACAATTGTCCTAAAATGATTCCTCTGTTTTTCTTTTCACCGTCACAAACTTCTGCATCTCTCTACTTCTTTATCTGCATTGAACAAACAGTTCAGCGCTGCTGGCCCAAGTGACTGGAGGCTTGTTTAATTTTCAGGAATGAATAAAAGAAATCCTGGATCTTTACATGTTGGGAAACGTTGAGATCCAATGACGTCTCAGGAGAGAACTTTGACGATTTTTTTATGTTTCATCTGACCACTAAATAAATTCTGCTGAACTGCAGCTCACCACTATTCTTATTCAAGTGGTAATCAGAAGGGAAAGTTGACTGGAAGAATAAAACTGAGTGAACAAAGTTTCTCCACAACTCGAGACATGCCCTTCTTCTGTTGGTCAAATTGGCAAACAGGCGCAGCGTTAAACAGCTGTGTCCATATTCAGCATTGATATTGCCCTCTAACCCCGAGTCCAGATGCAATTACCATTTTAGAGACACACCGAGCGTCCCGGCTGCTGCACAACACTATCAATATTAATGTTCTGTGACTGAGGAGGCTTTGAAAGAACTTTCTCCCACATCAATATTGATGGTGTTGCCATACATTGGGGTTGGGGCCCTTTTTAAGGATTTATAAGACGAACGCTGGTGGGGGTGGGGTCTTTATACGAAAGGGGCCAAAGCCGTTTTTGGTCGGTGCCTCAGTGATGTACATTTTGCTGCTGTCCAGAGCAATTTCCGCTGGAAAGGGGTGACTCCGTCCCACGCCTGATGAGATCTGAGACGTATCCAATTCCCCTGAAATGCTTTGGCGGCGATGATAGTTGTGAGAGGGGAAAAAAGAGAACGTTTCATTTCAGGGGATCTGGGAATGTTAAATGGGAGCCTGTTGATACTGAGGATGGGGGTATTGCTTTTTAGGACATCTTCACAAACAGTCCACAGCGGGACCACACACACAGACCAGACAGATCCAACTCATTATATTAGTTTTGGAGATTCATTGCTCCAGATATCAAGTGTCAAGAGGGTGTGCTTCATGAAGTTTGGGGTCTGGTTCATTTTAAACATTAATCATAGAAAGAAAAAGAAAAGCAGAGGGAAATAAATGAATTGCAGAATCAACTTTGACTTTGTTTCCGCAGAAACATTCTGCTGGTGGTGGGGATCTTCAGCCTCATTTGTCACGTTAACGAGCCTGGATTAAAAAATCCCACAGAGTTTTCTGAGGATTGTTACCAGCAAAATATCAGAAAAAACAATACAGATTTACTTCAGAAATACTTCAAAGTGACACGTCAGTTGGGACGAGTCATTTCAACAAAGCTGCTGCCTCATTCTGCTAATGAACCAGAATTCACTCAGTGTTGATATATTTGGATCGTTATCAGATGTATCAGGATCTGGTTCCGGTCCACCAGTTCACATCCCAATAAAAAAGATAACCAAACCCACAGCATCACAGATTCTCCACCATGCTTCAAAATGGAAGCCTAATTTTTGCTGTAGAGATACGAAGTGGATCCGTGTTTTGAAAACACTTTTTGCATCACGAGTCACATGATCAACAGCTGGATATTATGCAAACCATGAAGAAGAAAACAGGAAGTGGTTTGAGTATAATTTAATGACTTATTGCTTGATCAAACATTTCATGTGTGATTTTAATTATGTTTCTTGATTAATGGGAATGCCGCAATTTACCAATATTAGCAGAACATTGACAAAGTTTTACACGCACTGATAATGGAAACAGTTATTTTTATGTATAAATTTTTCTTCCTTTGTTTTTTTTGTTTTCTTTATGTTTTCCTCTCTTTCTGCAGGTGTAGAAAAACTTCTGGGCTTTTTGTCTTTTATTCTCTTCATCCTTTTCCCTCTCTTCTATTCTTTCATCTGTCCCTTTCAGCTTTTTGCCCTCCTCTCTTCCTTTGTTTTTTCTCTTTTTCGTTTCTTCTCCATCTCCATGAGAAACAAACCCAAAACAGTTTCTGCTGCAACAATTTATGCAAGAATTACAGCTGTAACACTCCACTTGCGAAGTTAAAAATGGAAAAGATAGATTTAAAATACATTTTACAGGAAGTCTTGGATTGTCCAACGTTTAGTTGAATCAGTTCAACTAATGAATACATTTTCAGGCTATTGACACATTTTAAGGTTGTTCTAAATGCACTAAAATGTATAAAGAATCATGGAAAACAGAATGATGTGTAGCCTTTTTCATCTGAGCTGCTCTGCCACTGTCACTGAGGATGAACACATTACAGAGCAACACGCCAGGACAAGACAACCGGACCCCCCAACCCTTCACTTCATACCGTTCTTTATTTTGATGCTGCCTCATAAGTGGAACCTCTTTGGTGAGACAAAGACTGACCTCAATTCAGTCTGACATCCCACCTATCGATCTCGCCCCCCTCCCCCTGAGATGACTCGCCCTTGTGCCGCCACCGTTCACATCTAGCAACAAGATAAAAAGCTCTGCTTTATTAAACAAAAATTCCTCCCATGTGTTTCCTCCTCTACCCAACACCAAATTACAAACCCGACACTTCATTTTTATAAGCCCTGGGAGTTGTGGTGTGTGTGTGTGTGGGGGGGTGGGGGGAGGGGGTGCAGGGGTTCGAGTCTTTGTGATACAGTAAATTGAAAGTGTGTCATAACAAATAGTGCAGGTGTCTGGCTTAAATGCATGTGACTAACGCCCATGTCTTCTCTGTCAAAGGAGCGTCCCGTGTATTTTTAAAAGTGCGGGCAGCGACTGTGACATGGACCCAGGACAATTACTGTCAGAGAGGCGGGTGATGAATCTGCGGCCTCATTGTGTTTGTCACTTCGACCTTTGGCTGGGACCTGATTGCTATGACTGTTTACCTGCAAAATGGCTCAGATGCATCGTTTCTGCCCTTGAATTGTGCATTTAAAAATATTAAATGAATAAATAAATAAATGACTCCTGCATGTGTAATTACTGCATCAGAGGAGGAAAACGCTGCAAAACAAAGCAATATATTTACCATATCAGCTAATGATTTGGATCAACTGCCAATAAAATGACAAGCAATTTACCTTCAAAGGGAAAACCTGCTTTTCTTTCACAGGCTTTGTAGGTTGTGATATTTACAGGCTCTCATTTGTATCCTGACACGGCGTATTTTGCTTTTATAGTTTGTGCTGAGGCCGGTGGTTGCCATAAATGGCAGGTGTGCAAAATTGAAGTGCAAAAGTAATTCAGCTCCTGCCATTCAAAGGAGCCGTGTCAGTTTGATTTACCTGTGCATATAAACATTCACACACACACAGGCAGGCACACACTCCTTTGGGCCACATGTGTTTTTTATATTCATGTGGTGAGGGCCAGAAAAAAAAAAAAAAGAGAGAGAGAAATGTGCGGCTCCAAAATGGAGGTTGAGGGGTCATGGTGCTTGGCCAGGAGTGACAGCTCTGAAATGAAGGCGTAAGTCAGTCGGCTACTCTTCATACACACACGTGTGTGTGAGGGGTGATGGGGGGCGGGGCGGCTGTGGGTGGCTGGGACAGATTGGGGGGAGGAGGGGTTTAAAGGGCGGGAGGTCACCGGAGGGGGGGGTTGGTTTGTTCTTGTGTGCAGGGTGGGTATGCAACATTAAACTGGATCAAACTTCAGAAATAAATCAGCTTCATTATCTATCAAAAGTCACTCAGAGGAATTGTTTTTTTATCTGTCGTTAAACATGGAACCAGGAATCAGGAGAGCTCTGAATATTTAATAGTAGGTAAATATTCTAGGGCTCAGCATTATCACCACATCCTGTCATAATACTGTGATAAAGATACAAAAGATCATATAAAACTGCATATTTCTCCTTTCCTAGATAAATACATGACAGCATTATATTTGATGTGAGGTTCACACATATTTACAGAAATAGACGTGTTGTTCTTGTTCTCTGTTTGTTTTAAATTATATTCCCTCATTAATCACTGAGTAAATGCCATTAGCTGTCTTAGCTCTCAGCTTCCTGTACAGATTATTAGCAACCTGTCACTAATTCAGATCCTCATTATTTTTACATAAAAGATATTGATCATTTGTAGCAATTGAAGCATCTGCAGCTAAAAAAATACTTCAAACATCAACATGTGAAAAGCTCAGTCCTTTCTGATTGACTTAGCATCAATTCAGTGTAGGGCTGATTTGGTGATTAATTGTTGGATTAACCAATTCATAACTGGATACTAAAAGTGCCTAATAGAATTTCTGCAGAAATTAAAGCAGGTGAAGCTAAAATCATCACCTGGATTCTGGGTTCAGCATGTTTACAGACAAAGACGTTTTTTTCTCTTAAGTGCAAAATGTTGATATTTTTGAACAATTTCAGCCTAATTACTGCTCTGAGGGTTTCAGCAAATGGCTTTTTTAAAGTCTGTGATTAATCAATTATTAAATTAATTGATAATTATTTCCACACAACATTTGTTACGATTAGTCATTTCAGGCCTATTGCTGCTGCAACAATAACTCAATCAAGACTGCATATGATCAGTTGGTCTTCGTTGCTTTTTTAGTTTTTGAATTTAGTATTCAGGTGAAAATCAATTAATTTTCGAATGGCCCAACAGATAAAACCCAAACTGACATGGGATGTACTTTCTTTCTGGAACTGGAAAGTGACTGAAAAGAGAGTACAGGACAGTTAGTGTGAACAAAACTTTATTTCAATTATTGGATAATCAATATTTCCAAACAAAAGCAAAAGGGATAAAAACAAACTCTTAGAAACTTTCTGTGGATTTATTTACCAACACAACTTTCTCAGGTCCCTGATGGCTTTTCCAATACTGATGCTTGACGTCGATACTACGGTGTCGTATTGGAAATGTGACATGAACAAAGTTTTTCCAACAAAAGGACAAAGGAAAAATAATAAAAACTTAAAGTATTCCTACATTAAACACAGTCCTAAGTCCCACAGGGATAGTGTTGCAACATAGACTGAGGTTTTCAGAGGTTAGTGATACATTACTCCACATGATAAGCTCAAATGTTTAGGGGCTTTTTCCTACACAACAATATCACCCGGAAGTGGAAAAATATCTTGCATGATGTCTAAAATCTAAAAGTGCTGTTGATGCTGAAGCAAAAAAAAAAAAAAAAAAAATCCTATTGTGAGTCGTTCTTTTTTTAATGTCTAATTATTGCATAAAGATAATTCACATATACATGTCTTTTTTGAAAATGCACGTTCCAATTTAGCATCATGTGAGCTTCTTTCCACTCCTGACAGAACATAATACCTGTTATAACAGGTAACGAGAGATTATGGCACAGTCATAAGATAAATGCTCAGTGACAAATCTTTGTTCTAAGGCAAGTACAGCTAATTCTGTAAATTGCCCCCCAGACACTCACTTCCTGCCTAAAGTCTAAAAGGTCCAATACTGACAATCATTACAAAAAAAGCAAAACACACATCTATGATGCTCGGTGGTGCGGCTGCTGTGGCAGCATCAATGAGGGAGTTCTAGTGAATCTTTTGAAAAAGTAAATATGTATTTTCATCCAATGGGTAGAGGGCAGAAATATTCCATCAGTGCTGAGATTCAACAAGTGTGAATAAGTGTCAAGTCTGATAAGATCTCAATGCAAGTGCCAAAGCTTTAATTTACGTTGTTTATTTTTTTTTATTTTATAAAGTGATTCACTTAACCTGGGAATCCAAACAATTGTAGTCAAATTACAGACAAAAGTTACATTTGCTTTTTTAACTGACATAAATTTATTCCAAACTAAATGTATGTCTGCTTTGGCACAGGTTTCTCCTAAGTGTGAAATTAGTTGGGTTTGTGTTTTTGATCTAACGCCGAGGCTCTGGCTGTTCTGCTGACTTCCTGATGCCAATCCTCTCCCAGGTTTCCCTATTCATCCATGCCTACGTCCATTTATCACTCGTTTAGTTACTTTTGCATATTTTTCCGGTTCCTCGTGGGAGTTCAGTTTGTAAAAAATGCCTACATAAATATAGATTTGTTGTAGCTTTTGGTGCAAACTTTTGTGGAGAAATCACAGCATATCATTTTTCCATATTTGAGGATAATATGTGGATATTTTTATGAGATTTAACAGCTGAATCAAAACATTGGTCAGGCTGCAGTCAGTTGGAGCCACTCCAAGTGTTCACCAGGCCATGGCAGAGAAACATCAATGCTGACAGAAAATCTGCAAAGTTTAAAATGAAATTAAAGTTTCCAAATGCATATTATTCATCCATTTCTGTTAAATTAGAGAAGCAGATGCTTCAATTTAGTAAAAGTGGCACATCTATGGAGTAAATGTGACTATCTTAGAGATGGTGCATCATTTTGTTGTCATGTCCAAAAAATTCCTGGAGATCTAGTTATCAAACTGTGAATCAGACACATCAAAGGATGATGATAAAATATTAGTTTTTCTCACCATGGCAAGAAACACAATGCAGGTAAATCACTCTGACTGGGCAAAACATTTAGATTACAGGAACATTTTGTGAGGAAATTTTTCCAACATTTATGTGAAAAGTGGGTTAAAACATTATGTTTGATTTGTCTATGTAAAGGAACCAATTGAAGGTGGTCATGATGAAGAATAGTAGTTTTTAACTCCTTTTTTGTGAGATAAAAGTTTTGAGAATGACAAATGGATTTTAAAGAACTGCTATAAGAATCTGTGGATCAAACTTGTTTCTTCTGTCTCCATTTACAACATTTCAAACAAATCAATATTTCCAAAACAAAGCAAATCAATATGTGTGCCATCACACATATTGACTGATAAGTGGCTTATTTTATTTTGTTATTTTCAAATAAACTCCTCCTGACTGCAACCCGACAGAATTTCAAATATTAAAAAATTTATTAATATTACGAGATTTCTTGGGACATGATCTCATTATACCCCTGAATTTAATGATGTCATTTTCATTTTCTGAAATTTTCAGAAATGGTTCTGAAAACATTTGAAAGAATATGTCATCTAACCAAATAAACTATCTGCAACCTCTTAATGGAAAATATCATAACTCCAAGATACAGAAGATGACTTTAAATATATGACGGTCAAAGTGTGCATCACTTTGACCGTGAAGAGCCCCATGGAAGATAACTTCCTTTCTACGACGTGATCAAAACTGCAAATGATCAAAGTGACGATAGAGCAGAACAACCAGAACCCAATACTGACATGTCTGCTACTCTGACCCCCCACACACACCTAGAAACCTGAGCTTATTAATTCAGTGAACCCAAAGATGCCTTAGATGCCAATGAATCAATGATATTCTATACATATGGACACAATCATGAGTTATCTCTCCATACAAACAGTGCTAAAACAACACACAATATAACATCATCTGCAAAAGTTCAAGACATTTTGGCGTTTGTCTTCTTTTAATGGCTTCTGGTTTGCTTTTCAAAATTTAGTAAATACACACTCAGACCTGGCGCTGTTGGCTGCAGAGTTCGAGCGGAATAGTCCCTGCTCAGGTTCAGCCATGCTCTGTAGATGCAGGCATAGCACCAAGAATTAGGCAAATGTTTGCACAGTTTTATAACTGACATCTGAAGTGAGTCCATCAGACCTGCTGGTGAACTGTGCAGCAACTTGTCCAGCTCATGCCGCGTCTCAAAAAGAAAGACTGCACGCTGTCGGCTCAGGAACGTTGAGAGGCCATAGAGTCTCTGTATCGGCAACGACGAACGATTGGCTGGCTTGTGTGACCGGGATGGTAACGTTTCAAGAGTCTCAAGGGTGGAATGGTGAGGAAGACGCTTCCTCGGGGAAAGCTGAAAGGTGGACTGTGGACAAGGAAGGGAAGGAAAGAAGGACGAGCTTCTCCTCTGTTGCTCAGCCTCATGGTCCGTTCTCATTGTAGTGGAGGGAGAGCGGCCGCTCGCGCTGCACTGTAGGCATGTAGGGCCAGTTGTAGCTGGAGCCAGAGAGCAGCATATCTCGAAGCAATGTCTCAATGGGCGTCTTGCCCACCAGTCGCACAAAAAACAGCTGCTCGATGACGGGCGAGGAGACGATACGCAGGGAGGGCAGGCGGAGGAGCAGGCGTCCGAATCGGTTCGGCTGGCTGGGATACTGGTTCCTCACATATTCCTCCAGAGCACACTGGGACTTTTCCTGGATGCTCTCCACATGGGCGACATCAGACAATCCCATGGCATCTGGAGGAAGGAAGGGACATTTATAATAGCTTGATTAAAAGAGAACCAAACATCTGATGACAGTAAGAAGCCAGTCTGGATTAACTGGTTTGACCAAAGGCCAGCGTACAAAACAGAAATGATTCAAAGCTTCCAAATGGGATTTGATTTTAGGTTAGAAAAAGAGCCAAAGAAAGAACAAAAACATTCATGTTAACAACAAACACTGAGGCTTGTATGGCACCCGTGCCAATCCTGCAACTTTTAGATGCGGGATCATCACGTTTCTTACTGAAACTTCATGATTCCTTTTTGTTCCCATAAACACAAATATTTTGCTTGCTTTTCTTTGGTGTTCATTGATATGTGACTGTGAGACTTGTTCACATTATTTGTCTGTTTGGATGTAAAGCTGTGAAAGAACTGCTTCACTATCAGCGTTTGAGATCTTATACCATTCCAAAGTAATCAAATTGACGTAATCCACAATTAAATCTGGTGGATTAAGTAAGAGTTGCTATCAAAGGCATCCTCAACCGAGAGGCTCAAGGTTGATCCCAAACCTTAGAGTAAAAATCAAGTCCTTGCTTCAGAGATAGTCATCTACCTCACCCTGCTGTCTGAACTCAGTCTGGGCTCCTGTTTTGCCTCCAAGGCCATCATACCGTCCCTCTAATTCGCCCCCGCCTCCAGCTGAATCTCACACAAACTGGGAGAGTGCGTAACACCCTGAGATATTTTTTGCACCCTCAGCGCGGAGGAGAGAGCAAAGGGATTAAAGCAAAGGAGGTCAGAAAAGTGTGAAGTCTAAACAAAGACACATTTTACTGTAGTCTGTCGCATACTGTACATTTTGTACGCTGTGGCCCCAGAGTGAACCCACATTCGGCAGACAGGTACTCGATGAGGGCAATTTATTCTCAAGCTTTTTACGTGAAAGCGCTGGCCTGTAAGCTTTAACCCGTCGCCTTGCATCACAGGTCCGCTTCGTCATCACAGGCTTTGATCTGTCCCCCGTGTAAACCCTGTCCTGCTGCGCCTCGGTTCCACTCTGCAAAGTATTTAATTTACTCCACATTTTAATCAAGCGTGTCAATGCCTCCCCACCCCCAGAGGACTCTATTCTTATCATTCTCTGAGAATAATTGCCCCCTCTTTGGCTATATTTCCCTCCACACGGGAGGCTGCTGGACGGCGTTGTAGTCAGGATTTTGATTTGGGGTCCTGCGTGACAAAACGGCCAGCGCCTGGTCAGGATTAGCGGAGCTGTCTGCGCGACTGAGACCACTTCGCGTGCCAAAGCGACAGCTCTGTGGGTGCCCTTCCACGCCAAGCACCAACGTGTTCTTTTGTCTCGCAGCGGATCGGAGGGGGCCAACGATCAGGGTGGCAGGAATAAAATACCCACTCCCTGATGTGGTTTGATGGGTCGGGTCTCCACAGGGGAGCGGAGGGAGTTGCCTCAATGGAAACAAACAGACAATTGGTGATTGTCTGAGCTTGTTAAGATATCCTACGAGTCAGGTTTATTACCATTTTGCAATGCGTCAATTTTTGATTGTTTTTTGACAGCTTTTTAAAATCAAAACTTGTGTGCACTTGCATCTGCCAACGGAGGAAAGTCACACAAGATGCTCAAGGCTATAGGGGTTATGTAGGTCACGGTGAATCCTGCGTCTAACTGAAACACGCCATGCATAATTCAAGTCCTGCGGTGGGGGCAGGGTCTTGGGGCTTGGACCCAGCTTGGAGTTTGGGGAGCATGGGGGGTTTTGGGGGCGGGTTTGTGGACGGCTGTTTTCAATAATAGATGGGATCATAAAGGAGAAAGAAGTGATGAAAGCAGGGAAGATAGCGGAGAGGTGGATCTGCAGCCACCCACGTACACAAACAGGTTCCAAGATTTGGAGGAGATGCAGCACGCATCAGGAATGGAACTGACAAGCTGTGCAAGAGGCAGAAAAAAAAAAAGGGAAAATGCAATTAAAATCAGAAAGGAGGAACATCTCAGTGTTGGCTCGTTCACCATCCGTTTCCTCCAGGGTCACAAAGCATGATCCTGCAGTGAGGAATCCCAGATGTGACAGGATTCTGGCTTGTCCTGGATCTCTGTGACTGGAGGGATAAACCACAACAGGCTTTGTATAAAAGCGCCAGCGAACATCTCAAGGGCTTTGCAAGACTTAAAGCTGTTGTACCCCTCAGTAGCTCAATGGTGTGAGAGTCAGCAAAGGAAGCCTGAGAAATAAATGATGTTGGATGTTTGCAGTGAAAAATGTTGGAAATCACAGCCTCCTAATGCAATTTGAATACAAAGCTTAATTTTCTTTCTGACTGGATCATAAACTTGGCGGTTGAAAAAACTGCATAGATGAAGCTTTACTGTTTAACATCATGATCAAATTACAACCAAATTCAACGAGGCCAGAGACCAAGACGGTACCAACTGCATTTACACATGGAGCCAATAAGACGGTGTGCTGCAGCGCTGCAGGTCGGCTCCCGGTCAGCCTCCCTGCAGGTGAAGAGGTTGTGGATTAAGTGCAGCTTTTTTCCACAGTCTAAGCGCTGCTGTCTGTTTTGGAAGGCTTTTTCCTCACAGCGTTTCTGCTGTAGCTCAAAACAAAGACTTGATGGTTTGCATATCTTTGTATTACATAATAGAGGAAAACAGATCAACACTTTTTTACCAGCATATATTTTAATATGTCAATAATGTTGAGGAAATGCACACACAGGTCTAACATGGAACGTACTGGGATTATGTTTTCTTAAATATGTCTCAGTTTGGACAGATTACAGGATTTCCAACTTTATACTGGAACATAGAAAAGTTGGATTGGATGCAAGTTTCAGTTCAGTTACTTTTATTTACTGAATCAAAATTAGTTCTGAGATCCACTGGAATCGCCTTAATTAATTACTATGCAATTAATCTTTACAGATCCAAAACATGGTGGGGAATAAATAATCAGTTCGTAATGTATTTTAAACTTCCATCCATTAAAAAGGGATTTTGAACAATGCAGCTGCAAGTCGTTTGGTTTAGCTCTCTGCCAGTTTTGCATAACTATGAAGTGTGATTTGGTGTTGCCATGGCTGCTCCTGTGATTGATCCCGTTCTTGTCAGTGCAGGTGGACGTCCATGTCTTGGTCGGTCTGCAGGTGGTCCATCCTCTCTCTGTGTTCACATGATGGATTAAACTGAGCTCTAGGATGTTATTTCAGAGCCAAGCCCAGTTTTAAATGGAGCCAGAACCAGGTTCTCTCTGGACTGCTTGCTTGATTTTCATGATATTGGTTGTTCTCTGATGTTCTTTCATTAATTTCTGATGACTTGATGGAGTCACAATGATGGATTATGGCCAAAATGAGGACAAGAACATGTCCAGGAGTAAAAAGTCAAAAATTTGGTAGAAAAACTTTTGTGATTGATCTTAGAAACGTCATAGAAAAAAAATTGAAATTATTGAGTTCCAAAAGTGAAAATTTTTCAACTTTAGAAACTCTGAAATTTCCATGATTCTTGGTGGAAATGCACTCCTTTGTTTCTATTCATAATGGCCCTAAAGAACAGAACTGTGTTTAATGATCCAGGAAGGGACACGATAAATTACAAATTATTTGCCACATTTAGTTTTCCATAAAAACTTTTAGGGCTAAGTTCTTGTCCCTCAACGTTAAACCAGCTTTTCACAAGAAGTTTCCTCTTTTCTAAATTTAGCCTGGAGAAACGCTCCAGACTGGCCGCTTCTCAAACTCACGTTAAGTTGTTGTGATTAAGACACGAATAAACCGATCAGCAGAACCTGCTCCACAGCGTTCCCATTAGCCAGCCGCTAATTCCCTCTAAACTTACTCACACTAGAAAGGTTGTGTTTTTGTTGACATCGGATTCGACCTTTAACCCTCCGTGAGTCTGTGAACCACAAACAAATCCGAGCCATATGGTCACAGCTGTGAAAGATGGCGCGGTGCACGGCGAGAGTTCAGCCATCTGCACTGGCAATGTGATGTAAAAACCAGGCATTGCATCACTGTAAAACAAGAATGTTATGAACTCGCAGCGACAACACGCTGCATTTTTACTGAAACGATGGGACGGCGTAATATCTTTGCATTTTCAGCAGACACCATCTGGATGTCGAATCTCCTCCAAATGTCATGGATGTGAGCTTTCATTGCACAGCATTCAAATATTTACAGTGTTTTTCTGGGTTTCCAGTCATTGTTCTTAAAACAAGGTCAAACTTTATCTGCAGCATTTATTATATCTGACATGCAGTTAGATTTTTATAAATGTATTTTCTCAAATGAGAAATGGTGTTTTAATGGTGCAAAGTTAAAAAATACTTTTAAGATTCTGATGGACCACTTCAACCTTATAAAGTGAAGCAACTCAAGGATGTTGGAGTGAAAAATCTTACATGATTTCAGGATCTGCTGATTGGCAAAAATCACTCAATGTAACCAAAGTGGAAGACATTTAGTTTCTTTCCCCTCAAATTACGATGTTTTCAAACCTACTGACCTAAAATCTCACCACTAACATCTTGCGAGCCGATCCGAACTCACCTGACGTGAAGAGCACGATGGACTTGAGGCAGGAGTATTCGGCCGTGTCGACCTGCAGGGCCTTCAGCTTCTCCACCTGCTCCTGGAAAACTCTGATGTGGTCCATGAAGGCCACGACGCGCTCGGCGGACATGGGCGAGGCGTGGAGGCCGGCGGCCGCCAGCAGGGGCGCCACATGGAGCGGCATGGAGCACTGGGCGGCGTTCAGGACGAAGAGCTCGCTCCACGACATGCGCAGCAGCGCCACCTAGTACAGGAACACAGAATGGATGGGAAGGTTCTGAAAATCCAGACCAGATTTAATCTGACCTTGTGAGCTTTATTCTCTTATTTATAAACTATGAGCATAGCTTAATGCCGTTTACAAAAGCATCAATTAGCAATTTCAACTCTGAACTAACCAACTAAGAATCTGTTTCTAAGGAGAAAAATCTTTTGGGATTAAATTTTGGTCACTGTCATAGTTAAAAATACTCACTTAAGTCTTAATCTTAAGATTTAGACGTAAATCTTTGCTCAGCCTATATCTTGCTGAGCAAATTTGAAGTTTGCTCATTCAAATAAAAGTCAAAATTAAAACTATAAAACTGAAACATGTTTAAATTTATAATCCTGACTTTATTGTCAATCATATCCATGAACTGAAGAGACTCTGAAAGCTGATGGCCGTTTCTTCCCTTCATGAGAAATAATCCGGTTGTTCTTAACGCACAATGAAGGACGAGCTGAAGTTCATTCTGCCAGTTTTAATCAGGGCTGTGACTGAGATACTTTCAGCCCGCAATAAACTAAGATAATATCTGAATCACGTTTTCTCAGGACTCTCCTGTTTAAATGTTCGCCGCCGTCCAAACAGCGTTTGAGGAGAATGGACTCAACCCTTCCCAGACTCTGAGCCCCAAATGGTTTGACTTTTATTTCCTTGCATTCACTTCTGTCTGTTTCGATCTCATTTTAAAATGTTGTTGGTTTTTATTTCTTTCATTAAGCTTGGAAACTAAAAGTTAGCAAAATAGTCAAGGAAATTAGCATTTTATCTGGATTTCCAAATTTATTGGGAAAAATTACTGTAGGGAAAGCTAAGTGCGTTTTCAGAGTTAGCAAAAGTGCTTAATGAAGAACTAGCGCTGCTATTTGCCCCCCACTGGGTGGATTTATTCAAAGAGTCTGGAAATAAATAAATTAAAAGGTTTTAATGTTGTGTATGTTGTAAACATCGCCATATTTATGTTTTTATTATATTTATATTGTATTTCTTACACTACACTGTTTTTGGAGTCGCCTCTTTTTGACTATAATCTCATCGTACATGAATGTAGGGACCATAAATTCAATAATTCTTTCAAAAAAACTAAAATGTTAAACTCTTTTTTGCTTTATGCTTTATGACCTTTAATAGTTGCCAAAGTTACTGACAACAGTTTGTTCAAAAAAGACCAAATCTGAACTAAAATTGAATCCAAACAGAGAGTTAAGAGGCTCCAGGTTGTAAACTGGCCTAAATGAAACTGTTATCAGCTTTTTGAAAGAGGAACAGAAACATTCACTCTGAGCGAAAGCAAACGTTGTTATTTAATGGTTTCATTAATGCTCTGTTGCTGCGGCAGCAGGATGAATTCATCATAACATGACCACCAAATGTCCAAGTGAATATTTATAGGTACAACAGTTACTCTGAGCCAGTAGCATAAATCTGCATGAGGAGGATCAATTTCAGGTCGGTCCATGCTCAGCGCCGCGAGGTTCTGCCAAACAGAATCCTTTTTACACGCTGCTAAGTGACACTCAATGCAGATGTTGAGGAAAATATTATCTTTTCATTTATTTATTGGCTCATTTCTTTTTCAAAGTGGCAGGAGAGAAATGAGTTGTCAGATTTCTTCTTGAGAAGGTGAGATCTAATGGTTTCTTCCTGGAATCTCCGGGCATTTTCCGTCTGAACGACGAGAATAAAAGCTGGAAGCGGCTCAGCAATGAGAACAGGCTGTGTCCGATCGTTTTTCTTTCTCTCATCAGGCTCACCTGATCCATGAGCTGCAGGTCGGGGAAGAAGGGGATGTTCTTGGCCCACTCCACGGCGCTGAACAGCAGCCGAGCCGCCAGCTCGCAGATGTTCTCGATGCCCATCAGGTTGTTTCCCTGCATGCACTGGGCCCCGTAGCGGGACGTGGGGTAGGGCTCGGCCCGCAGCAGCAGGGAGATGAAGCCCGACAGGTAAGGCTGGCTGTTGTACGGGTCGGAACCGTTGGTCAGGTACTGACCCGGGCTGCTCTGGGAGTTCGATGTGCGTCCTCTCTGTACAGCTGTCCAAAAACACACATGAGTTTTACAAACTTTTCCAGGTTATAAAACTAATTTACAAGTAACTTTTCAGCAGCATTTTGGAGTTTGTTTCCTTCAAATTGATGAAAAAGTTTGACTTTCACTGGCAGATTACACTGAAAAAAATGTTTCTTTGAACCAACTTCAGAAAATGACTCTAACTTGTTGCAGCTAATGTTGTTAGTTTTGCTGAAGTTTTAATTCTGATTTCATTTGTTTTTGTAATCAAATTCAGTTTGGCAAAATTACTTTATGTACAGTTTTAACACAACAACTTAATAAACTTAACATATTTACTTGGTTAAACTTAATTTGGTTACTTTTAGCAAATTAACTTTTTTAAGTTGAATCAATTGTTTTGTTTTTCAGTGTGCCAAGTAATGTTAGTCTGGTTTGTAGTGCAAATATATTAATAAACTTGGAAAAAAAAGAATAAAATAACTTACAAATAACTAATCACCTAGATATAGGAACTTATTTTAAATCAATATTTCCTTAATATTGGTGAAAAAGCTCCAGTTCTGCTGGGAGATTACACTGAAAAATTGATTATTCTGATGTTTGAACTTTTCAAATCAGAGTTATAGATCGAGAAACTCGTAAAATTTGTTGTAACAAATTGGAATCAATTTTTAAAGTTGGTTGAAGAAAGCATTTTTTTCAGTGTACTTGACTTATTACAGGAAATTTGTCTTTTTACTGAAATAATGTGCTACTCTTTCTTCGATATTAAGAAATTATTGACTTAAATCTAATTCCTGAAAAGTTACTTGTAAGTTAGTTCAGTTTGTTTTAAGTGTGCCAAGATTTTTGCTACAGAAACTAGATAAAATGATTCTGTCAGACTTTGTGTTTTTGCAGAGAACATGTGAAAGGGAGTGTATCTGCAAAACGAAGCGAGCCCTGAAAGCCTGAGTGAAGGTAGAAACAGAGGAAAAAAGCAGCAAATTGGGCATGCAAAATGTGTCGGGCTGCAGAAGGAGGTCGAGGGGCGAAAAACATTTCTCCAACTCTTAAATGTGTCAGAGCTCGTCTCTTCAGCGGCCGAGCCAAGGCCATTCCCCACTGCTGTTGTGCATCAATGAGTAATGACAAGCAGCAGCTGTTAAAGATATAACACTTCTTCACACCTACATATGTTGTGCACCCGCACATGAACACATGTAACACACACAAACACACGCACGGTTCCCCTGTATTGGCAAATGGCTGAGCCTGAAGCGAACAGGGCACACAGAGGTCAAGCTCTCCAACAAACACACGTCCCAACCCCCCGCGGGTCAGGAGTGATGATGATGCGGTGAGCGCTCAAAGGCCCATTTGGAAAACACCTGTTCAGCCATCCCCACTGTCTGACTAATAACTCCATCTACTGTTACACAGAGCAAGTGTGAGAGGGGAGAAAGGCAATGAAAATGCAGAGAGGAGCCATGTGTGATGAAAAATGAGGTAAAAGGCTGGAATAGTGAGATAAGGTAGAGAGGGGAAGGTGATAAGTCGAGAAAAGAGATTGAGGGCAAAGAGAAGGCTGGAGGAAAAGGTGAAATATGGAGGGAGACAGGTGAAGGCTGGAGAGTGAATGAGTGAGTGGGGGCTTGGAGAATGCTTTTTAAATATCACCTGCAGCCTCTCCCACAGCTGCTGCAGCAATCGAATGCACCGTGACGCGTCTGGAGGTCAACTCACTCCGGCGCAAACTGAAAATGCCTTTAATTTGAGCCTGACAAAAAATACCTCTGCACCAAAGGTGCTGACCTCAAAGCGCTCGTTTTTCTCCATGAACTGCTTAACCTGTGGTGATCAAGAGGAATGCACACTCCTCCTGCGAGCTGAAGCTATGAGAAGATGCCGCTTGTCACACAAAAAGAACAATTTTCCACTTGATCTCACTCCAACAGCAATAGAAACAAAACTGAATGAAATGGTTGCGTTTAGTTGTAGATTCATTCCCTGATCAGATGTTTTCGGTCACTTCAGAGGGACAGCTGCAGATTTTCATTGTGAATTGAACCTGCTTGTCTTGAAAAGAACGAGTAGTTACAGAACTAAATAATGTCTGTGGAAGAGGTTGAATGCAAGAAAACTTTAAAGTACAAAGAAGTTGAAAAACCTGGATGAATTTCACATTTTCCCAAAACTTCATGATAAAATGTCTTGCTCTGCCTTCTTCACATGCAACACATCACCATAAAAAGGCAACACCAACCTAAATACATCTAATTTACTCCCTCAGAACAACAGTTTTTAACCACCTACATCCATCTGTAGAGATGAACAGAACCAGGAAGAAGATTGTCTGATCCACACCAGCAGGGGGCTCAAACAACTGCCACAATGTCATGTTTTATAAAATAATGTAACATAAAATGAAAAATCTGCATTTTAATATTGGTAATACAAAAGTAACACTTATAAAAATCCTCAACTCAGCCAGTGTCAGACAATAAGAACGAGAAGTTCAGATATTTATCAAAAAGTCAAATTTCTTTAGAAGTTGTATTAATATGTAAATCCCGATTCATGTTTATCTCTAAAGTCAATTAGGTTCATATGTGCTCACTATGCGATTACTTTCTGGTGTTTAACCATATTAATAATAAAGTTTCTGTCATAATGTGATGCTAGGAAAATAAATTTTTTATGTTGCAAGTTCAAACAATAGATGGTCTGAAGAGTTTTACAAAATGCAACAGGATTACTGTTTTTGTCTGCATGTGAGACGCTGATGGTGTTTAACGGATTTGACCCGTTATAGTTCAGTCGGTGGTTCTTATCGCGTGCAGCAGCAGTAGCAGCAGCTGCAGCAGCAGCTGCTGCAGCAGCCACCAAACAAGTTTTCATGGGTTCCTTTGAATACATAATCTCAGTAAAAGCTGTGATGAAAAAATGTGTCTGAAAAAGTTTCTGTGTTGAAGTAAGGATTTAACTTTGCGTCCAGCAAGTTAACAGTCTGAACTTCACCTGGAGGAAAAAGTTGCCAATTTATCAACTTTGTCTTTATGTTTCCTCTGGTATTGCTTTATTGCTCGTAAGCAGCAAGAAACAAATGAAGCATCTTTTTCTAGTGATCTTGAAACTTTTGTGACATGAAAACACAGATGTCAGTGTTTAATGGACTTGAAACAGATAACTTGGAGTTTAAAAAGTTCAACTAAAAACTGAAGGAGTGAAATTATGCGGACCGGATGGTTTTGTGAAACAACCTGTTCGTCATAAACCCATCAGAACTGATTGATTGTATTTCCATTCGATTTTGGAAATGTTAATTAACAAATATTGCCTGTTGTTGAGCTTCGAGTCATAAAACAGAATACAACAAAAATTAACTAACTGATTTGAGTGAATAACTAATTTATCAAAAAAATGGATGTAAATAAATGTCCTAAGTTAAAGTAAGTACAAGTGTATTAATTCTGACTCATTAAAGTGTTTAGCAGTTACATTTGCAGGATTTCCACATCTACAACAATAAAATGCATATTTCTTGTGCTCTATTTTATTTTTGCTGCATAAAAACCTCATCTGAATCTCGTTGGATCACCGTGATGCAACATTTTAGTGTAATTGAAACAGAGGGCCCTCTGCTGCAGCCCAGTGAAGGACCTGTAACTTCACTGGACTGACTCTTCAGGACTGAATGCATTTCTGACACGTTCCAGTCAGCAGACTCTGTCTCCTAATGTCCTCATGCCACTAGAGGGCACTGTCAATCGAACGGAAACAGATTCTGAAGGGACTGAATCTCCTGCTTCAGCTGAGAAGTCTTAGAGAACTCACTCCTGATTCAAACATTCACAGCTATTAATCTGCTCTGGTGTCAATAAGCGGCTAACTCTGCGGACGGCTGCGTATCTGCTGGAGCCACTTGACTCTTCAAAAGCCTCATTGTGGGGGTCACTCGTGCCTGAGAGGCAGAGCGCTTGAGTACGTCTGACTGAAACACATCGCTCTCTGTTATTCCTCGCCTACAGAGATGGACCAAAACACACGAAAAGAGGGAAAGAAAGCAGAAAAAACTGGGTGATGGAGAACGAAGGGAGGGGAAGATGACATGACAAGAGGGCAGAAAGAAACGAGATTAGAAGCAGATGCCAGAGGAGAGGGAAGCAGGGGGGATGGGACCAGAAGGAACCATAATCTGCTATTCTGCTTTTAAATAACCAAATTCTCTGCAATTAGACAAAAGTTACTGGGTTTGTGAAGTTGAAACAAGCAGTTTAATCCAGAAACGTCCGGGATGCAGAATGAGGAAGGAAAGTGAACGTGGAGACACTTTGGGAATCACTGCAGCAACTCAACGCCTTGCAAAGCATTTTTGTTCTAGTTTCTGCTGCAAATATTTTAGCACATTTGACAAAAGACAAACTGACTTTAAACTAACTTTCCAGAAGGATATTCTTTTTTTAAATAGATAATTTCTTAATATTCAAGAAAAAAGTTCTAAAACTAACTTAAAACTTTGTAAAAAAAAAAAAAAAGTCTTGTTATAAGTGAAATAATCCACCAATGGAACAAATTCTTCTTCATGAATATTAAGGAATTGTTTGCTTATATTAACTTCCTTTAAACAATCACTTCTAAGTTATCTAAAGTGTACTATTTGCACCAGAACTAGACCAAAAATACTTGGTAAGATTTTTTGCGGTGCATTTCAGCTGTGACTTTCAAAACGCTGCTTCAGCAAACGGCAGCTGGCGGAGCGCTGCTGGGTGAGCCTCTGGGTCAGTCAGTCGGTGGAATTACAGCAGCTAAATACAATTAAGGCCTATCAACATTTGGTCCGAAAGGTCAGCGCGGATGGAGGAAAACAGACGCATTATGGATTTGGATTATTCTCGGAGTCGGGTTTAATAAAGTGGCTTTTTTTAGCTCTAAAGCTTCGGCTTGTGAGCAAAGCTAAAGCTGGATGATAAGATACAGTGACTGCAGGACGCAAAGAGAAACAATGTGAGAAATCTTTAACATCCTGACCTGAAAGAAT